TGCACCAGGCCTCTAGAATATATAGATGTAGGCAAACTACACTGTGCCCCTGATGTTATCATGGGTTCAATACTATATTGTGGCAAAGTCTCCATGATGGAGTGAGGCATAAAGTACTCCCAGATCATGGGTAGGGAGTGTTTTTTTTCCTTTCAGATCTTGACATAGCTCACTCCCTCACTTCTCACTTTATGTTTTGCTCAAATGTAACTTTCTGGCCTCGTTCAGTGCAGCCCCCTCCTACACTCTGCTGTCACCTCACATTTGTGCTTTCATTTTCTGTACCTGATGTAATATACAGTGAGTGCTTACCCCTCCCCTACTCTCCTCTAGTAAAAAGGCCCAGGAAGCCCTGGCTGGTGTGACCAGGGGTTGGAGAGTCCTCCCCTGTGAAAGGTCACTGGTTCAATTCCTGGTTAGAACATATGCCCAGGTTTTGGGTTCTCTTCCCAGTTGGGACACGTGCAGGAAGCCAACGATCAATATTTCACTCTCACATTGATGTCTTTCTCTCTCCCTCTCCTTCTTCTCTGTAAAGATCAATACAATAAAGTAGTGTTTTATTAAAAAGCTCCAACAAGTTTTGTTTTATGGGATTTCTTTTCAATGCTCTGTTCCTGGCACCTTGATCAGTGCCTGAAACAAAGTTGGGGCTGGGTAATACTTGATGAATGAATGAAGGCATTTGTCACACTGACAGGATCCCTTGAAGCCCTTGGCTACAGCCGGATTCCCTAGCAGAGACTCCTATCCCTGGGTCCCTCTGTGTCTGGACAATTAAAGATGTTTGTTTGTCAAGCTCCTCTTCTCCCCTTCATTCATAGCCCCTGGTGGGGGAAGGAGGGAAGAGCTGATCTCTTAACTGTGGGCTGCTTTGTGTTGCCCACTCTCCAATACACACTCCCCCGTCCCAGTACCCCCACCCCTCCCACCACTCCCCCCCCACCCCCACCCGCATTCCCCAGCAGCCTTCTCCCTTTGTCTTCTCTCCTCCCTTGACAGCCTCCTTCTCAGAAGGGGCAACAGCCCTGGAGGTGCTTTCCTCCTCCTCTCCCTGCACCGGGGTGTCCTGCAGAAAGGTAAGCCCTCTTTGTGGGGCTGAGGCTGCCCTTATCCTGAGATTCCTCTTGGGACCTCACCTCCTGTAGGTGAGCCTGAGTGTGTGTCACTTTCTGTTTCCACTCCAGCTGCTCACCTGGCTCAAGGCCCCGCCCTGCACGGGCTTCCCCAGCCTGGGGCCTCCCCTAGTGGCAGGTGTGTTTTCATTTTTCCTTCATCAGCTGGGATTGCACGCCTGTGCAGGCTAAAAGCTGCACCATGGAGCTCAGTGAGGAATTGCATCGCTGCCTAACTGGAAGTTCGGGCACACAGACCGAGCAGCGGGCTGAGACCTGGAAGAGGAGACTGAGGCCAGAGACACCACACAAGGCTGAGTGAGACCCAGGAGACAAACTCTGAGAGGACACTTGGGTCCCCACTTGGAATAGAGACCAGAGACCAGAGACCAGGATGAAGCTGGGTGAGCCTCCACATCATTGTCCACGACCCTCACTCGCCACAGCCCCCACCCACAGCCCCTGACACTCTGTCCCCTCATCTGCCCATCCTTCCCTAACACAGACTTGGCTGTGTGTTGTGCGCTGGTGCTGATGCTGATGACCACGGTGCTGACCAGCACAGGAGCAGTTCCCGTCACCACGCCCCTCCCGACCCCCCTGGGTGCAAGGGGCTGCAACATGGCCCAGTTCAAGTCTCTGCCCCCACAAGAGATGAAGGCCTTCAGAAGGGTCAAGGATGCCTTGGTGAGTCTTCCTCCCTCTCCCCTGCCTCCCCTCCCCACCCACATGCTGTGGGCAACCCTCCACCCTTCCCTCTGTGGGTCACAGCCCCATTTGGCTCAAGGTGGGCCTGTTCCCTTCCTTCCCGGGGCTAACCTGCACCCTTCGCACATGGTCTACCTCCTGCTCTTGCTTTGGGGGCTGACTCTTGCTCTTCTGCACTGGAGATGCCTCTACCATCCTTTAGGACATTAGCCCCCTGCTCCTGTTGCTAGCCATCCTCCAAGCCCACTGCGGGGTCAACCTCCAGCCCCCCAGCTGTGGCTGACCTCTGCCCTTGCTCTCCAGGAAGAGTCCCTCCTGCAGAGGAACCGGAGCTGCGGCTCCCGCCCACTCCCCAGGACCCGGGACCTGAGGCAGCTGCAGGTGAGTTGGGAGACTCAGGCCCAGCCCTGCCCTCACCCGGCCCCGCTCCTCTGGCTTCTTAGGTGGCCCCTTCACCTTCTCCTTCTCACTGTTCTCTGTGTCTTTGCCCTCCCCAGCAGTCCCCCTGACCTCTTCTCCTCACCTGCTCACATTGACCTTCCCTCTCTCCTGTCTCCTGCCCTCACCTGTTCCTTCCTCCGGCCTCCTCATCTATTCTCGCTCACCTGTCTGTCTCCCTGCTCAGGTGTGGGAGCGCCCTGTAGCCTTGGAGGCTGAGCTGGCCCTGACACTGAAGGTCCTGGAGACCGTGGCTAACTCGACCCTGGGGGACCTCCTGGACCAGCCCCTTCACACACTGCGCCACATCCACTCCAAACTTCAGGCCTGTGTGAGTGCTCTGGGCTCCCAGGCCACGTCTGTGGGCTCTGACCACCTGTATGTCCCCATGTGTCTGAGACCCTGGTCACTCACCACCCTCCTTTGCCCACAGGTCCCAGCTCAGTCCACAGCAGGCCCCAGGCCCCAGGGCCACCTCCGCCAATGGCTGCGCCGCCTCCAGGAGGCTGAGAAGAAGGTGAGTGACTGGGGCAGGACCAGTTTCTGGGGACAACTTGGGGCCCAGGTGATGAACAGCCACTGACCTGTCCATTCCTCTCCACAGGAATCCCGTGGCTGCCTTGAAGCCTCTGTCGCATCCAACCTCTTCCGCCTCCTTGTCCGTGACCTGAGATGTGTTGCTGATGGAGACCTGTGTGTGTGACCCTCAGGCCCACCTGCCTCCTGTCCCAGCATCTTGGGTTTTATTTATGCATCCCGCACTTTTCTTAATTTATTGCCACCCAACCACTATTTATGTATTTATGTGTGTGAATTGTCAAACTCAGACCCGATAAAATATTTATTTTTCTACTTTTTGTAAGAATTGTTCATAAATGATAAGAAAACGATGTTTCCTGTGCTGTGGGGCTGTGGGTATGATTGTGCGGATTAGTTTTCTCCCGCCGCCATAACAAGGTTTCCCAAAATTAGCATCTTCAGACCACACAAGTTTAGTATCTCACAGCTCCATACATGAGAGCTCTGGGTGGCCAGCCTCTTTCTCTGCCAGGGGTCTCATAGGGCTGAAGTCCAAGTGTGGCTGCTGGGATTCTGCTAGGGAGGCCTTGGGAGGAAGGGTCCACCTCCAAACTCAGTCAAGCTATTGGCAGAATTCTCTTCCCTGCTGTGGTAACACTGAGGTTCCCGTTCCCAGTGGCAGAAAGCGTCAGTCCATCCGCAGCTCCTGCCAGCCTCTCACTGGTCCTCGCACATGGGCCTACATCTCAGAGCCTGCAGCCACGGGTCACATCCTTCTCACGCCTGGAATCCCTCTGACTGCTCCTTCCACCACATTTCTGTTCTGCCTCCAGCTGGAGCAAGTTCTCTGCTTTTAAGGACTCGGTGTTTAGACGGGGCTCACAGGGATAATCCAGGACAACCTCCCTCTTTTCACATCTATAAAGCTCAGTTACCTCTGCGAGGTCCTTTTGCCAGGTCACATAAGAGATTCATGGTTCCAGGGTTTGGGCTGGGCGTTGGGGCCACTATTCTCCCACCACAGAACGTGAGTGATTGTGTGGGTGTGTGGTTTCTTCGTGGGTATGTGAGTGGATCACTTAGATGCCTTCTGTTGTATGTAAATCACATGAAATAAAAGTGCCTTATAACAACACTCATCATTGCACGTGATGAGAAGTGTAGACATCAGGGTCCATTTAGAGCTACATTATTTAACCTGCTCCACAGGCCACATGGAGCTCAGCACTGAAATGTCGCTAGTGCAGGTTGAGCTGTGCTCTACGTATAAAATAGAGCCTGGAATTGGAATAGATTTTATTTTTTAAAAAATGTTTAGATGGTGCCTGCCAAGTTTCTCCTCTGTAAAAATACTATTTTTCTCTTTATAATAAATATGTGGAGGACTTTGACACTTTGCAAATACCTGTTAGTTTTCAAACTGCAACCCATTCATTTTAGCGTCCATTGATGGTGTCAAAGGGTCTCAGACAGAGGGGGATATACGGGTGCTCAGAGCCCAAAGCCTGAATGTTTATATTATGTCAGTTATCAAATAACTTCATCCTTCTTCTTGCATTATTCATTGGCATTCTACTCTTAGGAAGAGCTGTGCTCCCCTCCGTCATGCATGTATTTGCTAATTGATTTATAACAGCATGGACTACTGAATTCTTATTTCATTCAGTGCATTATAATTCTTTGCTATAACTTCAGTTGATGCTCGAACTGTCCTCAATTAGGCCAATGGGAACCCTTTCAAGATGGCTCCTAAGCCCTTTCCGTGTGTCCCCTCATCCTTTGAGCACCTCCTTGCTTTCTGGAATAAGATGTTGCAGGCTCACCTTGTACTGTCCCTGCCTCAGCTCTGTAACCAGCCTTTTCTTCAAGGAGCTCTGGTTCCTCTTCGTGGAGACAGTATTAAAAAATCGTGATCTGGGTGCTAGGAGGGCTGATTGCTACAGGAATATTGTTGCTTCTACCCACTCTCTATGGACAAAGCTAGGAAATAGATGGATGTACTGAATTTTTATCCACTGTTAAAAAGTAAAATCTCACTAATAATACGTTTCATGTTGATTGTACATGTTGAAACAATAATATTTTGAATATATTGGGTCAAATAAAATATATGTAAAAGTAATTTCACACATTTCTCTTCACTTATGAAATGTGGCTGCTAGAAAATGTTAAATGACACACGTGGCTCACATAATATTTGGATTTGAACAGTGCTGCCCTAGAGGACAGGCTGCCATAGTGGGTCCAGGCTCTTTATCTCTGGCTGGTGCTCCATCCTCAGTGTATTAGTACTGTCTCCCCTCATGACCGCAATGGGGACGCCACAGCTCCAGTCACCACAATCATGTGACCGCCCACAAAGCCGGAGTGGCAGAGACTCCAGCCAGCGCTCTCTGTGCCTCTTCTCCTCTTCTTCCTTCACTTGGAGGACCCCGGACTTGAAGTGGTCACTTTGCCTTCAGTGTCTGGGACATGTGCAGTGGCTACAGAGTCCTGTGTTGAGAGCTTTCTTTTTTCTTTCAGGACATTGAATTTGATCCTGTTTCTCTGGGGTTCCCTCCATGATGGGCTCTCTCCTCTCAATTTCCGACTGATCTCGCAGCCCCAGCTCTGGTGTCTGATAACCTGAGTCAATGACTGGTTTTCTGCTTGAGTTCACCTTGTCCCTTGCTACATGGACAGAGGCCTGTGCCCACAGAAAAAGCCATAAACTTAGTCTCACACCATGGTTTGCTCTTTGAAAGATGGAATTCCCTCCTGTTTCTGCCTGCTTCTGGTCGCTCTCCAGTGCCTTCAAATAGTTGTGTTTCCAAACCCGTTTGCCCAGAGTTTGTCACTATTATCAATGGGGGGTTAGCCAGCGCCCTCGCACTGTCCCTGCCTCACCTGCCTCTGTGTCCTGCTCACCCTCAGGCGAGTGATTGTCACTAGGGGTCTCTCCCCCGGTCGCAGTTCAATGTCAGTGGGGTGGGTGTCAGTGGGGGCTCACTCCATAGCTGCCTGTCTCCTGGGAGCAGAGCCGGGCTGTTGCTTCTCCATGTGACTCAGACTTTTCACAGCACCACAGTCCTTGAGCAGATGAACGTCTTACATGGGGCTGGCGGCCCCCAGAGCAGTGTTTAAGGGTCCAGAAGTGAAATCTGACGGCTGGTTAATGGCTATGCCCGGAACTGACACAGTGTTCTATTGGTCCAAGGCGTCTTGGCCATTCCCAAATTCAAGGGGATGGTGAAAATACGACTTCCTCTGGATGGTGGAGTGGCAGTCACATTGCAGCAGAGCATGTGGGAGGGAGGTATTGCTGTGACCATCACTGAGAAATACAATTTGGGCCCAATAGACTCCCGGATGTCTCCTAAATATTCAGTACTCTAAGTGTGGCTGATGTTGCGAGAGGGAATGCGTCTGCCAAGGTCCATGGTTGCCTGGTTCCCAGAGAAATCCCAGATCCTGACACTTGAGGAGCTTTGCTGAATGTCAGTGATGGAGGCCATGCCATCAATGGGTGTCATTCGCCAATGCCCTGAATCCTCTGCCACAGGATGATTCCTCCACACCCAAGACATGCAGGAGCAAGGTCCTGCTCACCAACATGTTCCCCTAAGCACCTCCCAGCCACCCACACACACCCAAAACTGCTCTTCCTGTGGTGGCCACTCTACCGCCACCTGCTGCGCTCGCCCAACCCCGAAGGTGCCCGTGCCACCAGCCCTAGCTTCTTCCCCAGCGCTGCTTACCCAGACCATCTGCTCTTCTTCCATCAGTTCCCTTGTCTCTCTATCCCTGTTTCTGTGCCTTTGTCTCTGTTATTTGTACCTCTGTCTGTCCGCTTGAGGCTCTGTCCTGCCTGGTATCCCTGACTCTGTCTCCTTCTGTGCCATGTGTCTCTAGCTCTTCCTGCATCTCTTGTCACCCGACTCACTCCCTTCTACCTGCTCCCTGTCCCCCCTCCCGCCCCCCCCCCGCTCCTCCCTCCTCCCTCTGCCTATATTCTAAGTGCCTTTTTCTTGGTGCCTCCCTGTCCCTCTGTCTCTGCCTCACCAGAACGCACCTGGTCCCTCTCCCCCAGGACATTCTCAGGGCTCTCCCTGGGCCATGGCTCACTCACCCCTGCCAGACTAGTCTGCCTGGTGGGTGGCACAGCTTCCTGCCCTTCAGAGGGGCCCTGGGGGTAGGGTGCAGGGAGAGGGTGGACAGGAGCAGCTCCAGCAGGCCTGAGGCTCTGTGTATTACCTGCCCATTTCAGGCATCAACATTTATGAGCCAGCGCCCCCTACTGGCCCCACTCGGCAGCCCCTGGAGACGCTGGGTGAGTGCTTGGGGGCTGGTCCCCAGGGGAGGGCACCCGCCACTCTGTGCTTTCTAACCCTTTGCTCCTCCACCTGGCAGGCAACTTCTGTGAGTGGTACATTAGGACTGAGCAGCTCCAGCACAGCTGCAGGTGAGTGGGCAGGCCCCAGGCCTACGATGGATTCCCTCCTCCAGCCTTCCTTGCTGTGGGACCTGGAGAAAATGACTTTGCCTCTCTGGGCCTCAGTTTCTTACTCTGTAAACACAGTTAGTCACCTGCCCAGAGAATGCCCCTAACACACAGCACAGGCTTTGGCCAGGTCTGGCTGACACATAGTAGGTGTTCACAATTAGCAGCTATTATTGTTCCTCTGCTGAGCCCTTCCCCTGGGAGGAGGAGAGTCCCCAGGCCCTGAGAATCTGAGCCCCGCTTCTGGGCAGCGGGTGAGATGGTGTAACTCAGGGGCTCAGAGTCACCCTGAACCTGAGCTTCTTTGCTGCTTGACATTGGGTGAAAGGACAGAACAGGACTGATAGCTGAGTCCCTAACCCCTCTTCCAAGAAAAAGTCGCAGAATGTATCAGTTACTCAGCCTGCCCTTATCTCGGCCAATGGGAAAGTGGGGGAAACTAGCCCAAGGCCAAAAGTATGCTAGCCACCCCCCTGTCTTTGTGTAACCATACCCTAGCTGCACCCTGCCCTTGCATCACTAGCCCCCGGCCCTCACTCAACCAACCGGAATCGGCCAAATCAGTGGTCAGAGTGTGCCCCCACCCCCCAACCCCAAGCCCTATAAATTCTTTGTTCTCTTGGAACTCCAGGCTCGCTCTCTCTCGCACCCTACCGCTGCGTCGGTAGGGGAGGCAGAAGGACCAAGCCCCAGGCTTGAATAAAGACTCTATGCTTTTGCATCGGACTCAGTGCCCCTAGTGATGTCCTTTGGGGGATCTTGAAATCTGGGCATAACATTTGGGGGCTCATACGGGACCCCCAAGACTCACGAGGGACCCCTATCCCGAGAGTCTGACTGACCGCGGTAAGTGTCTGTGTGTTGTCTGTTGTGTTCTGTGTGTTCTGTCCTGTGTGAGCTCACTTCTGAAATCTGTAGTGTCCGAAACAGTCTAGGTGGACGCACTGGGGTACCATGGGTGGGAGGAGTAGGGGGATGCCCCGATCCTCCATCTGGAGGGGTGCAGAAACCTCTCAATCTGAGACGAGGCAGGTTGCTCCCGCCAGTTGGCACATGGCCATCGTCTAATCTGTAGTTTTGCTTCCGCGGAGTCAGAAGGTTGTTTTGGTTTTGCTTCCATAGAGTTGGAAGACTGTATTTGTCTGTGTTTGTGTTTTTTTTTTTCTGTTTTCTGTGGACTTACTGGATGGACGTTATGGGACAGACTCAAACTACTCCTTTAAGCATTATGGTTTTTTTAAGTCAAGGGCTGGGCCAAACTTGCTTGCCAGCCTCAGGTGTGGTTTTCCAGAACCGCTGGGAACTTGGGACCTTGAAGCTTACTGAATTCAAATGATAAAAAACATGTCTTGCATTTTTGAAGTTTATTCTTAAAAATGTTACTGATTGAGAAGTGCTGAATATTTGACTTGCCAGCTAAAGTTTAAGGTTCGGATTGAATTGGGAAAAACTGTGTGTTGTGGTAGCTAAATGCCTTTGTTGAATGAATGTCTGGTGAAAGTGTATGAGTGTGGAAGGAGGGGGCCTGCCCTCTCCTCTCCTTTGTGTGGCTCCATGACTTCGGTCAGGTAGGCATCTGAGTGAGGATCTGTGAAAACAGGTCACCCCCTCCCTTGTCTGTCTCTGGTCACCGATCATCATGGGGTTGGGACAAAATTTGTTTGTGTGGGACTAGCCAATTTACTACAGAGAAGGGGGACTGGATACAGCTCCAGCCTGGGCTAATCTAAGAAAGTGTAAATATGGGGTGTTCGCCTTAGCTGCTCATTACTGGTCTGTGTGAAATGAAAGCTACTTTAATTTATTTTGCATTTCTGTTAATTCATCTGGCTGAATGTTTGGACTAGACCCACGGTGGGCTGCAAGAATCTCTAGCAGTTCTCAGAGTCTTTTGCTCACCATTACAGAAGGAATCAGCCCACTTCGCTAAGAAAAATTTCTATCAGTTGCTCTTACCTGGGTTGTAAATCGCTGTAATTCCAAGATTGCTTAGTTCTGAGATTGCTTATAAAAGAGCAAGAAAGAAGTCTTTTCAAGTTAACTGTTTTCTTTTTTAAAAAAATATATATTTTATTGATTTCTTACAGAGAGGAAGGGAGAGAGAGAGAGAGTTAGAAACATCGATGAGAGAGAAACATCGAATAGCCACCTCCTGCACATCTCCCACTGGGGATGTGCCCGTAACCCAGGCACATGCCCTTGAACGGAATCGAACCTAGGACCCTTCAGTCCGCAGGCCGATGCTCTATCCACTAAGCCAAACCGGCCTCAGCAAGTTAACTGTTTTCTTAGCAAATTAACAAGGTAGAAAATTTCAAAGAACTTGTTACTTATGGTTTTCTTATCTCTTTGGTAGCAATTATGTATTAGAATCCTCATAGAGGACATAACCTGGTCTTTCCCTTCCTCCCTCATCCTGATTCTGAAAGCATCTGTCACTGGATTTCAGATGGTCTCCAGGCTTTCTGTCTGCAAGAAATCTCCCTATGCACCCGTTATCTTTCCAGGCCGCCTAAGAGTCATATTACCCCACAGGTCAGACCCCAGCCTCCAGGAAGGAGGGTTGCTATAGGAGCAGTCTGTGGTTTTCTTCAAAACTCCTACTGTTTAAAAGGAGACACACAACTGGGCTGTGAGAAGGGGCGCGGGGGTGTTGGCAGTTATGCTACTGGCTGCAAACCTAACAGGTCTTATCAATGAACTTCAAGGTCACAAAAAGTAACTGTAAGCACAGTCTTTCTCTGCCCTGGTTTATTCTTTTTAACCCTCCAATGCTGAATCAGACCGATACCTGTTCTTAGTTTTGTCACAAAAGGTCTAGATATATCTTAAGAGTAAAAGTACATTTAAAATGTGTTCATAAATATTAATCTAAAATTGCTGAATGTTCACTTTTGGTAATCATTAAAGGATTAAGGTTTCTAAGAATAAAAAAAAAATTCTAATACGTTAAAAAAACCAACTAAACTCCCAGGAGAAAAGTGGAGGAGGAACAAAGCTAAAATCCTCAGCCGCCCTGGTGATTTAGAACTGTTTTGCTAGGCAAACTCAGCCCCTGGGAGCCAGGTCAAAGAAGGAGGGGCTGTTGCCAGCGGTGTAGCTAAGGGCGCTGGGTGCATGTAGAGGGCCGCCTGGGAGGCACCTAGGCATTTTCTTATAATTATTGTCAGCTGAACTCAGAGCATAGGCAGAGCCACACCCTGGGAACACGCTTCCCCAATAAGGCTGGACATGTTAATCAGGCAGGGGTGGAACTAGATATGTAAATCTAGGCCTTTAAAATAAACCTGCTGTGTGGCTCAGCCCGCTTTTTGCCGCCTCTCCATTGGAGAGGATGGCGCCCACCTGGCCCCAGCTTAAAATCTATTTCTGCGTCTTGGTCTTTCTTTAATTTCTTAATCCCCAGCTCCTCCATTCAGCAAATGGACTGTTTCCTTTTCCATGCGGGACATGGAAAAGAGAGAAACAGCCCCCCACAGGTGCACCCACTGTGCTTTGGGCAGTGCTGGTTATGGCATCGCCCCTGGCGCCCCGACGACGGGACCATCCGAGCCGAGAGAATAAGGACCTCTGGGAGGCACGGGGGCACCGCAAGGCCCAGAAGCCCCTGGTAGAGAAGAAGCGGCACGCGTGGATCAACGAGAGCCTACAGGAGCTGCAGCAGCTGCTGGCGGGCACCGAGGTGAGGCTGGCGGGCCGGTGCCCAGGGGTTGCTGAGCGGGTGGACGGGGGTCAGGGCATTGCCTGGCCTCACCTCCCTCCCCCCCCTGGCGCCTCCTAAGCTGGAGAACACCGAGGTGCGCGTGCTGTGGGGCAGGGCTTGCGGGCACGAGCAGCTGCAGGCAGAAGCCAGCGAGCGCTTCGCTGCCATCTATATCCAGTGAACCCCCTGCTTGAGTCCATACCACTGCAAAAGGGCAGCAGCTTCCAGGATTTGCTGGGGGACGTTCTGGCTGGGCCCCTGGGAGACCCTAGGCGGAGCAGCTGGCTCAGAGGAGGGGCTGATATCCCCTTCTAGTGCACACCCTTGAAAGAGACCTGGTTGCTGCTCTGCCACAAAGGGAACTGGTAAAAAGGCCAAAAAAAAAAAAAAAAAAAAAAAAAGCAGGGCCCTAAGGGTTAACAAAAAGGCACTCTTCCTGGACCTGGGAGCCATCAGGACTTTGAAATTCTCCAAGAGAGGAGGAGCCTGACTCAGAGACTGGCCGAAACCTCGTTGGGTTAGGAGAACTGGAGGCTGCATGTTGAACTTGTAGACTACAGTTTGCTGGGCAGATGTCCGAGCCCAGTTGTGTAGAGGTTAGCTGCCTCTGTGCAGCAAACAACTTTCTCCTGTGCCAGAATGCATTTTATAGAGATTGTTCAGACTTTGTTGGCAGCTAGAGAGGAGAAGAATGACCGCCACACACAATCCCTAACTGTGGCTTGCAGAGAACTGAGCAAGATGACTCCCCTGCTACATTCCCAGGTGCTGGTTGCAGCCAAGAGCGTGGTTCACCCTGTATGGCATTAGAGCAATGCCCTACGTGATGGACTTGGCTGATGCCTTCTTCTCATGGACATGGCTCCAGAGAGTCAAGGACAATTTTGTTTTGTGTAGGAAGGGTCAACAGTGAACTTTAGTTGCCCTCCCTCGAAGGTATTTGTATAGCCCTACCATGCGTCACGTTTGGTAGCATGAGATTTGGCTCCTGAAGCGGCCATGCTGCCAATATTATGTTTCATTGTATTAATATGTTGTATTAACCTTTGATTCTCTTGCAGGTTTGAATGTAGCTGTAGCTGCCGAGAGGGAAGGTGCCCAACTGGGCAAAGAAGAATACCCATCAGGTTTTGGTCTCTATTGAGAAACAGCTAACAGTTGGCAGCCTGTATACTGTCTTGCAGGCCTGCGTGACCATGCCCATGTCAGGAGTGGTACAAACCTCGGCTGTAGAGAGCTGGGAAAGGCCTATTTGGAATGGAAGGTCTGAGGCATGGTTGTGCATTTTTGAAGGACATGGAGGGAAGGTTTAAAGGCTGGTTTAAAAGTATGAAATTTAGAAAGGTTGTGTATGTGATAAGAAGGAGAAGAGAAACATTGAAAGGAAATTAATCAAATGGTACAGGCCAGTAAGCCAGAGAGAGTAAATAATTTACATTCTGCCTCCCTAAACAGAGGGTAAATAGTTATGCCAAAGTACTTAGGGAGGACTGATAAAAGAAATCCAACAGTTACTGTTTTGTTATAACTCTGAAAAGTCCATGAAAAAGGACTGACAAGAAGAATCAGAAGATCTTAGAGCAGATCAGTATGTTTTTCTCCTTATATAATTCCTCCGAAATCTGGCAATGCTAAATAAGTCATGGCAATACATTCCTTTGCATGAAATCAATAAGACCGAAAAGCAGCAAGGGAAAGAAACTCAGTTACCTACAAGGGAATACCCATACGACTGTCAGCTGATTTCTCAACAGAAACTTTGCAGGCCAGAAGGGAATGGCAAGAAATATTCAAAGTGATGAATACCAAGAATCTACAACCAAGATTACTTTATCCAGCAAAGCTATCATTCAGAATTGAAGGTCAGATAAAGAGCTTCACAGATAAGGAAAAGCTAAAGGAGTTCATCACCACCAAACCAGTATTATATGAAATGCTGAAAGGTATCCTTTAAGAAGAGGAAGAAGAAGAAAAAGGTAAAGATACAAATTATGAACAACAAATACACATCTATTAACAAGTGAATCTAAGAATCAAGTGAATAAATAATCTGGTGATCATAATAGAATCAGGGACATAAAAAGGGAATGGACTGACTATTCTTGGGGGGGAAAGGGGTGTGGGAGATGCTGGAAGAGACTGGACAAAAATCGTGCACCTATGGATGAGGACAGTGGGTGGGGAGTGAGGGCGGAGGGTGGGGCGGGAACTGGGAGGAGGGGAGTTATGGGGGGGAAAAAGAGGAACAAATGTAATAATCTGAACAATAAAGATTTAATTTAAAAAAAAAAAGAAATCAATAAGACCGGTTTTCAATAGTGATTTTATTAACCGGAAACTTTGACTGGAATATCATGTTTTAAAGAAACCTGTCTGAGCTCTGAAGACTTGGAGCCAATAAAAGTGGCACAGGAAAAGCCTGGTATCCTGCTGGGGAGCCCTGAAGATGGCTGGCGCTGGAGCATCAGGCCCAAGCCCTACCATCACTGGCGGTTGGTAAGAGTAGAAGGGGAACAATAAGGATGCATCTGCATCCCTGCGGAACCCCCACTCACTCTGGGCCGCAACGAGTAGGAGGGCTACTGAGATGGGCTTAAAGCCTAGAGCATGGGCTCAGGTGGAGTTGCTACAGGTGAGGGATTCACCTAACTCAAATACTGCAGGCAGACCTGATGGCAGCTGGATGGCTTGGCTTCCTGGCCCTACGGGGCACATTAAGATTCAATCATGAAATTCCAGCAAAGGTAGTCAGTTACCATTCTTGTTGTGTTTATGCAAACATCAGGCCAAATTGAATACAGTAGATAAATTAATCTTGATTTGGCTTTTTGATAGCCATAGAGGAATTTTTAAGAAGAAAAATCCTATTTCAATAGAAATTGTTAAAACTAAAATGGTTTCTTTCCCTTCCACCGGACCATTTGTTATAATTTGTCTCTGCCAGGTCACAAGCCCAGCTCCTTCTGGGCTTGTGGGACCTCGCGGGACCCCTTGTAATCCTCCTAATGCTGTTGACTTTCGGCCCTTGCATTATTAACAGACTAGTCTGATTTGTCAAAAAGCGCATAGGGGTGGTCCAGTTGATGGTTTTGCAAGCCCAGTACAGGCCTCTAGCGACGGAAGGTAAAATAGAAATGCAGTCCATCTCATGATTGAGCCGGAAGTTCCAAGACAAGAGGGGAATGAAAGGACAGAATAGGACTGATAGCTGGGTCCCTAACCCCTCTTCCAAGAAAAAGCCGCAGAATGTATCAGTTACTCAGCCTGCCCTTATCTCGGCCAATGGGAAAGTGGGGGAAACTAGCCCAAGGCCAAAAGTATGCTAGCCACCCCCCTGTCTTTGTGTAACCATACCCTAGCTGCACCCTGCCCTTGCATCACTAGCCCCCGGCCCTCACTCAACCAACCGGAATCAGCCAAATCAGTGGACAGAGTGTGCCCCCACCCCCCAACCCCAAGCCCTATAAATTCTTTGTTCTCTTGGAACTCCAGGCTCGCTCTCTCTCACACCCTATCGCTGCGTCAGTAGGGGAGGCAGAAGGACCAAGCCCCGGGCTTGAATAAAGACTCTATGCTTTTGCATCGGACTTGGTGCTCCCTAGTGATGTCCTTTGGGGATCTTGAAATCTGGGCATAACATGGGTAAATCACTTCCCTTCTTGAGCCTCGGTTTCCCCACTGCAACACAGGGTTCAGAATGCATCGCCTGCCAAGAGGGTGATGGGAACCGAGACTATAAGGTGCCCAGTGAGGGCCCAGCGCCCATACCGGGGTCCCCTGGATATGAGGGTGCTGTGATCAGGTTTCCTGCTCCCTGGGGTCAGGCTGACCTGGGAGATGCCCAAGAATGCCAGCAGGTCCCAGAGCCCGCCTCCCCTGTGCCCTCTCTCACAGCTGGACGGTGAAGCATCAGTGTGTGGATCTGCTGGCCGAGGGTCTGTGGGAGGAGCTTCTTGATGACGAGCAGCCAGACATTACTGTCATGAACTGGTACGTGCCTCCCCCCACCAGGGTGCACACAGGGGCTCAACAAAGCACAACCCCACCCCGCCCTCCCCTTTGGTCTGAGCCTCCCACCAGGACTCTCCTGTCCCTGCAGGACCCAGCCCTGCCCACCTCTGTGGCCCCTTCTCTCGGACACCTTCAGGATTTGAAATGTGCCAGGACCAAGGCTGTTCTTCCCTCTTCAGATGCTTGTCTTTCTCAGGACAATTTGTCCTTTTCCTTCAGGAGTCAGTTACACATGGCTCCACCGGGAAGCCTTCCCTGACCAGCCCCCATGCTGGTCCTGACTATTCCTGCTGGTCACTGCCTCCCCGCTGGGCTATGACTCCCAAGGGGGGAGGGCAGGAGTCTGTCTTGGTCACTGCTGTGTTGCCAGCACCAGCCAGCCCAGGGGCACGGGGAGGGGGGCGGGGAGTGTCAGTGAGTGATGCTAAATGGTGATTGGGGCAAGACATTGGGGTGGGGATGTTGGGTCTGAGGTGGCAGCTGAAGGCCTTCCCCCCACCCCCAGGTTTGAGGACAGCCGGCTGGACGTGTGTGTCTATGAGTTGCACGTCTGGCTGCTGGCAGCTGACCGACACACCATCATTGCTCAGCACCATGTGGTCCCCCGGACCTCTGGGAGGGGCCCTCCTGGCCGCTGGGTCCAGGTGAGACTCCCTGCCCCAGCTGCCAACCCAGACCCGTCCCAAGACCTCACAGAGGGAGGAGGAGGGAGAGCCGAGCCCATAGGTCCCTAATAAGGACTTCTTTCTGACCCGCTGCTGCCACAGGTGTCCCACGTATTCCGCCAGTATGGCCCTGGTGTGCGTTTTGTCCACTTCCTGCACAAGACAAAGAACCGCATGGAGGCTGGAGGGCTGCGGCGAACAAGGGTGACTGACTCCTCCGTGTCTGTGCAGTTCAGGGAGTGACTGGCTGTTTTGACCCCTTGTCTCATCCTGAGTGTCTGACTTCATCGCCCCCCCCACCCCCCCGGCCCCAGAACGTCTGAATCTTTGGCATTTCCCCTGCACTCTTGGGGCTCCAGGAGGGCAGGGACCATGTCTTCCCGAGGCAGTGCTCGACAGATAGTAGGTGCTCAATAAACCCTTGTTGACTAAACCAGTAAACACCTGTGCCCAAGGATTCTGAGTATTATGCCATCTTTGCTCCATAGAACTTCGCTGAGCTCCCAGCCCACTCACAAACCCTCTGCTCTGTGATCCTCCAGCACCTCATACCTCCTCCACCTCCGACGCCTCCCTTGACCTCTGATCTCTTCACATACCCCCACCTTATGATCTCTTAGCATCTCCACCTACCTCTTTCCCCCACATTTCTTAGCTCTCAGAATCTTCCCGAATTCTCCTCCTCCATCCAACCCCAAGTTGTCCTTCCCCGTGAGCTGTCCCCATATCTTTCCTTCCCCAACACCCACAATTCTCTTCTTTAGCTTCTCCTAGGAGCCCCCAAACCCAGGTATCCATCAAGGGCCCCATCCCTGGGGGTGGGGGTGAGTATAAGTTGCAAAGTCACATTTGCAGCAATATGCAAATTTGCAATAAAGTGTCTTCCATGTGTAAGGGAGGGGAGGGTTGAAGGATTGAACAGCCCATAAGTCCTAGGCTCTGGCCAGATCTCACAACAGACCCTGGCCTGGCCTAGGCTGGTCCTTGAAGGCCTCCTGCTGTCTCATGCATGAATCCTGAGACTGGAGGTCCCTGGCAGGCCAGAGCAGCTGGGATCACTCAGGGAAGGGCTGTGCACCAAAAGGTCTGGGAAGCATGTCAATGTCTAATTATCAGCAGCGGTGCCATTGCATGCCACACATGCTTCCTGTGGGCGTGTGTCTTTGTGCACACCTAAATCCATGTCAGAATCTATGGGTGCATCCCCAATCACAGCACTGCCCCAGGTAGGGCTGATCCTGGCATGACCACCCTGCTGTCTCCCCATCCTGGGTGGTCTTGGGTCCCAAGCACAAGCAGATGGCAGACAGGGGCAACTTCATAAGGACTGTATTGCAGGGAAGGCATGGTGGGAAGGGGGCAGGGAGAAAGCTCTCTTGTTTGGGACTTGGGGCCCTCAGCTGGCCCCAGGGACAAGGCTGGGTGAGGGGCTCCTCATTCTGTAGGGGCTGGAGATGAGGGGCCTCGGAGGCATCAGTAGCACCTGCAACAGAATAAAAACTTATCACCAGGAAGTGCCACGGGCTCAAAGATCTATGGCTTGGGGAGCTCTAGAGCCTGAGATAAGGGTGGGATGGGCTGGGCTGCGCTTCCACTTCAGGAGCAGGGGGCTCCTGGAGCTCTTGGGGGGCGGGTGTGGTGGTTTTGGAGGCTACTATGGCTAGACTTAGGGTCCCAAGTCCATGAGTTTGCATATGTGAGTGCAGGGTGGGCTCAGGGCTCCAAATGCTCCAGAACCTTCCCAAGGATGCTGGGACTGGGTCCTGGTCTTGAGGCCGTCCTAGAGGGTGTGAGTGGTTAGGGAGCATAAGGGCCAGACAGGGTGTCCCCAGATATGAGTCTGGGGTCTTGAGGTCTGGGTCAGATGTAGAGTCTGGGAAGCCAGAGGGAGCCCTGAGTTCTGACAATTTGGGGAGAGGGAAGAACTGGCTTTGGTTCTGGGACTCCAGGGTGAGGGGGTCAATGGCTCCACATTCCAAGCTAGACTGGGCAGCTCAGGAGTTAGTGGCCCTCCCTGGACAGTGTAGCTGTGGGTAGGCAGGTGGGGGTTCAGGAAGGTTGTGGGGGGGCTCCCTAAATGGAGGGGGTTTGCGTCACTTCTGAGTGTGAGAATCCCAGAACTGGTCTGAGAGATCCAAGGGGCATGGGCTTGGGGGAGGGATGCGGGTGAGAAGGGGCCTCCAGGATGGGTCTAGGGATTCCCAATTTGGGTCAGGGACTCAGGGGTCTGGGCAAACTGAAGGTGGGGGTGGTGGTGGTGCTGGGTTCTGTCCTGTGGAAGCGGATGTGCGCACTGGCACGGGGATAGGAGGGCACCTGCAGTAGATGGAGGCGATGGCGTTGGACCAGTGGCCCAAGATGCCCCTGCGGTACTCTTCAAGGCGCGGGTAGACACCAGCGGTGAACTTGTGAGACTTGCCACCCTTGCCTCTTCGGGACCACACCGTGAGCTCACAGCGGGGGGCCACCACGAGTGAGGAGATGACGTTCCTCCAGTCAGAGGGCAGGAAGGGCAGGTCGGTGCCCGGCTCTATGGACAGCTCCGCACCTTGGCAGCAGTTCTCATAATATGGGTCACTCTTGTCATAGACCTTGGCGCACGTCCGTGTCCCATCGGGGTTCTTCAGGTCAGCAGCTGCCGGGCAGGCGCCTCGGACACCGGGGATGGCCACCAGGGCCAGTGCCAGCAGCAGTGGGCACAGCGGGGCCATGGTGACGCTGCAGGGCTGAGCCCCTGCGTGCTTTTATGCTCCTGCCCCGTGGGAAGGGACAGCTGTGAGATTAGGACTCTGCGGGGGAGGCGGAGGGGGAGCCCTTCCTGGGCCTGGTCGCAAACCCACAAAGAGAAATGCAGGATGGACATATTTTTATGAAACGTAGCAGTTTATGTCTATACACAGGACTTGAGGGTCGGTCACTGCAGCACAGAGGGGAACAGGGTTAATAGGTTGGGCAGGAAGAGCTCTTCCAAACTGACCAGGAATGAAACACCCCCCCTCACCCCACCTCCTTCAACAGGAGAGGCTGAGGGAGGGGGAAGAGGAGGGGGGCTGGGCCTTCAGGCGGGGCAGGTCTCAAGACCTTGGGAAAGTAGAAGCTGGAGATGGGTCGGGGGAAGAAGCGCGGGTGGGGGGAGGGTGGGGGGGGGGTGCAGGCGGAGGGACAGAGAAGAGCGCCTTCACTCAGGAGTGGGAGATCTTCCTGACCAAGTTCAGAAGCCAGAACCTGTGAAATAGGAGATAGGCCTATTGTGTAACACTTAAAGCCATTACAGCCCGGCCAGTGTGACTCAGTGGTTGAGCGTGGGCCTATGAACCAGGAGGTCACAGTGAAACGGAATTTTTGGACTGGAACATGAGGTGTTCCCCTGAGCAGGATGGTGTCTGTTAGGTTTGATCGAGCAATTGAATTGATACCCTTCCTCCAGGAACTGGCTTTTCAGGTCATTTCACTATGGCCATTCCCTTTGACCACATTCCATTATCTCCCCTCAGGGTATGCATAAAGAAGTCTCTGCCCAGAAAAAAGCCTGCCAAACGTCCTTTCAAAGCCGCTGATTCCCGTCACTGGGTGCTGGAGCCATCCAGATTCAGCCACCTGGTGTGTGGATGGTGGAATAAATTCATAATCCCTCACCATTCTGGCCTGTGTGTTCCTCCTCAGGCTGGAGAGGAAACTGGTCTTGCAAGGCGTGTCAGGCCATAAAAACTGTGAACAATATACTGCCCTGGGGGTGGGGAGAGGCAGTTATCGCTGGCCCCAGGACAGATCATCGGATATGGCCTGGAGACCCCTAACAGCTGGGGGCCTTCCTGTAAGCCCATGAAAGGGGGCGGAACCACATCTGCAAGACAAAGACCCCAGAAAGTTATAAAAAGTGAAGCCCTCTGCGTGTTTCTTCGCTCTGATTTGGAAATTATTCCCGGAGTCCACTAGTGTTAATAAACGGGGTCCCTCCCTTTCTCTAGGAAGCGTGCTTGGTATTCCTTTGGTCTTCTGTAACATATGGTTCCCTGAACCAGGAAGCTAACCGCATTTGGCTCTTGCCTCTGGTGAGTGGACGAGGTTTGGGGCCCCAGGGCGCGGGACAGGCCTCCGGAAGGCGTGCATTGCTGATTTTAGCAGAATTGAACTGGGGGGAATTCCAGGCGCTCCCAGACCTCAGCCCAGGACCCAGTCAGCATCTGGAGAAAGTGGACGGACACCTCTTGACCTGTCGACAGAATCTGTAAGGTAGGGGCCCCAGTCAGTTAGGCTCATTCCAAGTGAGTGGAAGGGGAAGCTTGATCACCTCCCTGGAAGTCATAGGACTTTGTCAGGTAGATCAGGAACCAGGACTCTGGAGGTGAGTGAATTCAGATTCAATTAAGGAATTGTGGGTTCACTCTTCTGTTTGTTAGTGTGTGGGACTAGCCAATTTGCTACCAAGCAGGGGGGCTGGACGCAGCCTTAACTCCTCCGGTAGGTACTCACCGAGAAGTCAGTTGAGAATTCTGGTCTGGGGCGTGGGTGCTGGGAGTGCCCTCATGCTCATCTGGGGAGTTGGGCATTTTCTGCTCAGAAAATGTTGGGCATTTTCTGGGCTAGCCTGAGAGAGTGTGAGTACGAATGTTTGTCTTCACATAATTATCTGCTGATTAACTGGTCTGTGTGAAAGCGAAAGCTACTCTGATTTTCTGTTAGTTCATCTGGTTAAAATGTTTGATTTGCTGAAGGCTGAACCCGTGATGGTCTATAAAAGTCTCAAGCAGTGCTGTTGAGTTAGTTTTCTCAGAGACGTTTGCTCTCTATCACGGGAGGAATCAGTCCACTTAGTAAAAATTTCTGTCTATGTTTGTGTACTAGGGACTTTGGTTTGCTCTGTGATTTTGCTGTGTTAGGTTGAAATTTTGGAATTCTGGGGTAGATTTAAAGGTATTTGTGGCTTTTCTTGTCTGACTGGGACTTTCAGGGGCAGGGCTCACAGCTCTGCAGGGCAGAGAGATTTTATGGGCCCTGCCCCCTGCCTGTGCTGAATTAAGGATCTTTTCTTTCAGGAGACCCTCCAGGCTTTTAGTAAAATTTCCCTGTACCCTTGTCATCCTCTGCCTTTTTTTCCAGGCCGACTAAGAGTCATTTTCCTACACAGGTCAGACCCCAGCCTCAGGAGGGAGGGCTACTACAGTGATGGCCTGTAGTTTTCTCTGAAGCTCCCGCTGTTTCTATTTCTCCCCTCTGTAGGAATTGTCTTCCTCTAACTCACAATAGGAAATAATACAGGCCAGTGTCATTTGGCTTGCTGGTTAAAAGAAGACAACGGGCCCTGGAGTCTGTAAAAGTGGCCGGGAATGAAGCTGGTCAAATGTACTGAAAGGGTTCGGTACCTGTTGCTGCTGGCAGAGGAAGGGCTGATATCCCCTTCCAGTGCACTCCCTTGGGAGAGGCCTGATCACTGCTCTGCCACAGGGGACGGGGACGAAGGCAGGGGCCTGGTACCCAACCCACTGCCACAGGAGTGCTTTGTAATATGCAAGGCTGTTTCTAACTGCAACTCTGGCTGTTTTGGACTGGCAGCTTATGGCAGGACCCTGTAACTAGTAAACAGGGTTAACAA